CACCAGCCAGTTGAAAATAATGAACTTGGTTCAGCTGGAGAAACAGTATTATCAGAGGCTCTCTATGAAAATATCGCCCTGACTTCTTTAAACCTTAATATAAGCCCATCTCAGGTTAGTTGGCTTTTAGACGAAGATAACCAGTATTGTATAACTAATCTAATTTTATTTAAGGCACGCCATTCCTTTAATGAACGTAATGAACTACCTAGTTTTTATAAAAACCATACTGATTTGTCCAAAAGTGTTGGAGCGGATAAACTTGGTTCAGAGGGAGCAAAAACATTACCAGAGGCTCTTTATGAAAACGCTACCCTGACTTCTTTGGATATTAATTCAAGCATGCCTCAGGTTCATTAAATGATTATATTTAGTTTCAGGGACGGATATGCATTAGTTAATATGATCCTTCAAGATACTGATCATAAGTAACAAAACCAATCCGGATTGGCTTTGTTACTTATGATCAGTATCTTGAAGGATCATATTAGCTTATTTTTTTGATTACCAAAGAACACCTCAATTAAAATTTACAATTTACTACAGGTTTCTTATTATTATGACAACGAATTATTCCTATCAAATTTGAGTTTTTATTCTTCGGAATTCTCTCAATCACATTCACAAAATTCTGCTATTGATTTACAAACCGCACCAACCTTTTCTGAACCTACCTTTAACCAACAAGATAATTACCTCCAAATTGAACATTCTACTTCACTTGAGTTATCAGATTCTAGTAGTCAAAGTGATAGTAATGATAATGTTAATAGTAAGCGTAAATATTCTTTTTACATAAAGATTAATGATCATTTTAATACTTTCGAAAAAATTGGAAGAAAACTTGATCGGTATGCAATAGAGCGTGGTTTTGCTGTTAGAAAGGGACATACACGTACGCGTGAGGATGGGACAGTATAGAACATTACTTGGGTGTATCACTTATCTGGACAATGGAAATCTAAAAAAACAATCGATTCTGATAATCAACGTAATCGTGATGCTACTGTTGTGAATTGTAAATGGCATTGTATTTTTTCAATAGGTAGCAAAGCATCAACAATTCGCTGTTTATTATTTGATGATGATTCAATTCATAATCATACTATGGATGATAATATTAAAAATAATGCACCAAGATATTGTCGATTAACTGATGAAATGCTCAATAAAGTTGAATTGTACCATCAATGTCATATTCAACCTAGT